TATTGAAGGATGGAAGTTGTTTGCCTTTGATATGAAGTCATCCAGACTTTCTCTTCCATACTGCCACTTCATTTCTATATCATCTATAAAGCGTACCCACTGGTATGGTGTACGCTCAACAGATGCTAAGAGCTGACCCTCAAGTTTTCCCATGAAAATGTTAGCATACAAAGGGGCCATTTTAGTACCCATTGCAGTTCCATTGATTTGTAGGTAGTTTTCTCCATTCAATTCAAAGTTGTTGAGTTTTAGGACAAGCTCCAGGAGTTGGACTAAGAAGCGTGTGGGTGGATTGTTTACAGTTCTTGTTTCCCATACTTCGCTACATGCCTGTAACCCTTTGTTGTGCTGTATGTTGGTGTACAAAGATGTGACGTCTAAGGAAGCAAGTAGTGTATCTGGCAGAAATGGTTCACTAGCTTTGCTTTTTATGAGATAATCTGTCGTGTCTTGAAGATATGATGGTAATTTGTGGACATGTGGTCTCATAAAATGATCTAAATATTCTGATATCCTTTCTGTGGGGTGCCCGTTACCTGAGATTATAGGTCTGCCAGGGTTTCCTTGTTTGTGGATTTTGGGTAGAAGATAAAATCTACCTGCTCTTGGGTTTTCTGGGCTTAAGTAGTTTTTCGTTTGCTGGTCTATGTGTCCGCTTTGGTATGCCTCGTCAATAACATTAGTGATGATTTTTGCATATTCCAGCGTTGGATCATGGTCCAGTTTTTGGTAGAACTCAATCCCTCTGAAAAAATATCCTTTAAACAATGCATGCTATGATTACAGAAGAGAATAAACGAAAAGCAATGCAGATGTTGAGCAGAGATATATATATATATATATATATATATATATATATATATATATATATATATATATATATATATATATATATATAGGCTTATATCGTTGCTTACAATTTAACTGCTAGCATACATTAGGAAACAACAACACTATTAAAATATTTTTTAACCTATATGTATGACTGATAGCTTGATTGTAAGCAATGATACGAGTCCTTGTGCAGCAAGCATACTGCCATGTAGGAACTTAACATCGAAAATAGATAACATTTTGTATACGCAATCCTTCACAATTACAGGATCACAAGCAAAATTTGTATCATTAACATGTAATAAAAATATGTACCTAGTTGAAGTTTTGCCAACACCACCCTTTCCACCGACAAAAATCCACCGTAAAGAAGTCTGATCAATAATGTTTTGAAGCGAAGGTTCCAAACATTCCATCGATTCGGCCATTTTCGCTGTTTCCGTCTTCCAAATGACTGGTGCACCAACCCAAATCCTTTTTTTTTTTTTTGTTTAGTCTGGTTCCCTGCCCTTTCTACGAAGAGCAACGTAGTGGAGAGAGGTCAGGGAACCAGACTATATTTTTTTATGCAATAAGGTGGCGCTCACCAGTTATTACGTACTTTTGAGAGATTGATATATGTAAGGTGAAGTTGTTTGCATTTTAAACATGCATAGTGGAGAGAATGTTGGCATACCTAAATACTACTTTCATGTAATGTGGATGAAATTTCTTTGGATATAGTATTTTTTAGAAATTTTAAATGATCTTAGGAAACTACTAACTAAAATGACTGCTCCCTTGTGCTCCAAAAATCAACCTGAATTTGTCTAAAGTACACTATTCTTGGCAGCTATTAAAATATGGAAAATGAATTTTGCAAAACTAGACAATACCAGCTTCTAAAAGTGCAATGAATGAATTACAAAACATATAAAATGTAAAAAAAGTTATCTACTCTAATTTTTTACAATTTACCTCTGAAGTTTGAGAAGTGAAAATGGGCAAGTAGAGCTAGCACTTTTTTGAAAGGTGCACATCTAGAGTAAGGCCAAGCTGTATACTCTCTAACTCATATTACACCCATCAATCATACATCAAAATAAAGAGAATTAAAGGTTCTTTGCACAATACCTACAATATACAAAGTCTCTTTTAAATAACCAGTATAACTAGTGAGGAAACCAGGGGAAACTCTTTTTCTTTAAAATTCTAACCCTATCCTAAATACGAAACTGTAGAGCGCAACCTAAGTAGTAGTAGTAGTGTGCACTCGCGCAGGTTGAAATATTTTGTCTTCATTTTTTTTAGGTTTCATCGGACAGTTGTTTTGGCAAATTTTCATCCGACAATTACCTATTGCAGAAAAATGATCATAATTTTACAATAAAGATACAAATAAAAACTAATGATTTTTGTTGAAAGGATGCTTGTAAGATTCTGACTAAGGTACATGTATTAGGGTTAATTCCTTATGCAACTGGAGGTTTTGATGCTGAACCTATACTACCACTATTTTTTACATTCATTTTTGACAGAAAATAGCTATTTTCAACCTGTTCCTGTGAGAAGCAAGCTAACAGAGTCAGTATGTACCTTATTGATCTTAAAAGTTCACTAGTACTAAAATAAATTAACATACTTTTCATCACCCCTCAACACAGTCTTAGAAAAAAAGTCACAGTCTGAATTTTTCTGATAATGAGGGACATAGGACATAAAGTCACACTTTGAATTTTGTAATGTTACATCGTTTTGACTGTCAAAAACTTAATTACAACTTCTTCAGTGGAGTATTAACATCATTAACAAATATCAGCTATACTTGTATATTCTTTTCTAACCAACAGATGCCTTAAATAAACTTCAATGATTTTCAATGTCATGTTTGTTTACCAATTTGCTGTTAAGACTTCTGTTGCTAAACTATTTCTCTTTTCATATAAAGCCATCAATTTATTGAAATCATTAACAGCAATAATTATAGAATGTACTGTGTCATGTTATGTATATTTAATTTGTGCTGCTTTGGGGTTTTTCTTAATTATTATATGTTATATACACCTGTATTTTTTACTTGGTCTTGTCCAAATATCTGACCAGTAACATTTATTTTGTAAACATATTAGCTAAATATTTTTTTATGATTGTGGATTTAATATTCAGATCATTAGTGGTAGTAAATGAGTTAAATTAGTCTTGATTCTGTCTTTAGAAACTTCCTAAATCAAAGTTTCCTATAAAATGACAGAGTTATATAAGAAAATTGTAATTGTGACCTAGACCAATAGAGGGGTATTTAATCTTGTTTACTTTGAACTATTCATTCTTGCATTAGGGTCTGAAGTAGAATGAGTTTTATTGCTGTATTCAGTTTTCTGTTTGGGCGGATTTATTTATTCAAATTATTATTCACTGAAATTAGAAATTGCTCATCAATATTCTTGGACTAGAATAATAATTTGCAATTATAGTCAATTTAGACAAGAACATTTTGGAATCTGTTATTGTGATACATCAAAAGACTTTTAGTTCATCATCACACTCCAGGCTATTAGCACATTTGAAATCACAGGCACGTAAGCATATTCATATTGGAATTCATTTGGAATAGTACTTCAATTCAGTTGGTAGTTCATTCTTTTGGACACTTTATAAACTTTTAGGACTATCTAGGATTTATTTCACAATAATTTAAGTTTTTTTTCTAAATTTTCACTTTTTAATCCAGGGAAATATATTATTTTAAATTTTTATTTTCACCTGTTTCTGATACTTAGTTTAAGACCATAGAGTCATAACAATCCTGTGACATATTGTCTGACATGTCCACCATTACTGTGATAACTGAAATTGTCACTGTTCATCCTGTAACTTTCTGTCCTATGGGCATATTTGACTTTTCTTGGTGGCTTTTTATCCATTTATGAACATATATAGGACCTCAAAGTGTGTCTAACTAACGTAACAATCCCAAACTTGAAAATATGTATATAAAAATAGTATATCTTGTAATTTTCTCCACCATCACTATTACCCTCCACATTGTCAAATTAATGTCATCATTTTCTTCCTCCTCATTGCTGTAATTACAGTTGTAGTACAAAGAGGAGGAGGAGGAGAGGAGGAGGAGAGGAGGACTAACAATGCTCCAATGAATCAGCTCCCCAAACCTGTACTGGTATGATGGTCAGTAATTGATTGGTTGGGGTGGTGTGGACTGATTTATCAGCTTATACAGAGAGCAGTAGAAAAATTGATGTTAAAATTGATGTTGCAGGCTCTAATGCTGCTATTGTTATGCTGATTGATGCTTTATTAAAATATTTTGAAGACTTAGCAGTTGCTTTCAGATGGATAATGCAATATAAATGGACTAAGAGATATTGAATTGAATGAACAGACAGATGGACAGACTGACCAACTCCATCCTACACACAATTTTGGCAGAGTATGAAGAACAAATTATTTATATTAAAAAAAGGTAAAGTTTCATGAAGTTTGGTAAAAGTAGTTGAAAATAGAAAATGATGACATAACAGAAAAAAAGATGGACAGATGAGATGCACAGACCATAGATACATAATGCATCTGAGAGCTTAATTGGATTAAGTAGTACCTGCAATAATGTGGTGTTCCATAACCAGATTCATATATGCAAATTTAATTGTGACACTGATTGACTGGTATCTGAGCATTGAGCAAACATATCATGCAAATTTGAGCATTTTCTTCAGGCAAACTTCTGGAACAACGGACAACAAACATAATTTGATACTCATAAACTAAAGATAATTACAAGTTCTTACTGTCCTAAAAGAATCTCCAGGAATCCACATTTATTTATTTTATTTCATGTGCATTGAAACTATCTCTAATAATATTGAGTGATATGATTTTAAATTAGCTTTGGTGGTGGTCATATTGGATGTAAGATTGGCATCATTTACAAGAAAAGTTTTGGTGTGTGTGTGTGATTATTAACATAACTTTAAAAATTTTCAGTCATATTGCTACGATGTCTGCAATGTGACAGTTTATAATGATGTCTAGCACTGGGGAGATCTTGCTGCAGACATGTAGGATCATGTCCACCCAGTCACAACAGGCTGACCAGATATAGCACTAACCAATTAATACTGAGCACCTAGTGATGTTGCTGAAACCATTTTTATCATTCTTTGGTATGACTCGGCCGAGGTTTGAACCCATGACCTCTTGCATCAAAGGCAAATGCTCTAGCCACATAGGCCAACAGAACAGTCAGAAAAGGTTTGGTGAAAACACCATGCCTTTATGACCCTTCATTCAGTAAAATTAGTGACAAGATTTTTAATATAAACAAGATACCATAAGATGTCTTCTGGTTAAAACCGTATGTTGATATTGCATTCTATTTAGTAGTGGTATTGACTAGATTTCCAAGACAGCTGCCATTGTGTCCATATTTCAGATCTGATTAACAGTTTTCATTTATAACTAACTACTAGTGAAAACCAGATGTCAGTATAACCTTTTTAGGATGAGTAGCAAAAGAAATTAAGATTTTCAAGATGACTGTTTTGGTGATGTTAGACTGGTACTGTTCTATTTTCATATTGGATGTTAGACTGGTACTTTGCTATTTTTCGTTAAGAACCAACTAGACATTATAAGAAGTCTTCTGGTAAAAGACATTGTTGATATGATTTTCCATGTAGGAGTGGCAATAGTAAGATTTTCACAACGATGTACAACTGGCCATATTGGGAACCAGATTGGCACCTTTTTCATTTAGGACCAACTACATCTTAAGAAGATTTTTAGTGACAACCCCATGTTGATGTGACCATCTGTTCAAATGGGGTGTTAATAGCAACATTTTTATCATGGCCACAGTGGTGGCTATATTGAACATCCTAGTGGCACCATTTTCATTTAGGACCAAAATAAAGATGTCTTCTGGTGAAAACCCTGTGCTGGAATGATTTATGATCAGAAGCAGTGATAAGATTTTAAACATGGTAGTCAGTACGAAACCTAGATGTTACTTTAGACAAGTACTCTCACATTGCAACAACATGTCATGAACATATGCATGGCTGCATATCTTGAGCTGAGATGCATCAGCTCCATTTGCGAGTATCTTTCATTTGATTCCACTAGAACACTTTTGTGTTCCTCAGTACTTTCAAAACTGAACTATTATAACTCATTTCTGTCTGGTTCATCTGAATATCTGCTCCTGGAACTTCTAAAAGTTCAAAACACAGCTGCTCAGATCATCCTTAGAGTACTATGATTAGAGCACACCTCCCCTGCTCTGTACCCTACACTGGCTATCCATTTGATCCAGAATCAAACACAAAATTCATTCTGTGCTACATTTTATTTATGGGTTCCAGTCCAACACACCAACATCACCAATGTGTACACACCAGCAAGATACTTATGTTCCTCTTCTGACAATCATATACTCATTATTCCCACTATGAAAACAAAATCATATGGATAATGTTTTTTTGCATACCAGGGCCAAGCAGCATGGAATGAATTGCCCACTTAATTTAGGCAAAAAGACAGCGATCTCATTCAAGAGTGCTCTTAAAACTCACCTATTTCGACTGCAAGAACAAACTTAAAGGCCTAATAATGTTTCTTTCCTTAAATACTTTCAGCAAGTTTTGTATTTTTCTAATTTCATGGTGTTTGTTTTTTGTAATCATATCATTATATATGTTGTAGGTGTTGTCTAATGTTGTAAAGCATTTAGAGCTTTTTAAGATTAGGCACTATGCAAGGTCTTCATTATTATTATTATTATTATTATTATTATTATTATTATTATTATTATTATTATTATTATTATTATTATTATTATTATTATTATATTGGACATTAGATTGGCACCATTTTCATGTAGATCAGCTAGATCATACATTTTATTTAGTGAAAATCCTATGCTTCAAGACTATCCATTCAGTGGAGTAGCAATACCAAGGTTTTCAAGCTGGCTATGTTGAATGTACCAGTGGCACCATTTTCATTTAGGATCAACTAGACATCATAAGAAGTCATCTTGTGAAATTTCCATTTTGAATTAGCAGCAATAACAAGATTTTCAGGCTGCTGCAATGTTGGCTACATTGGATGTTAGACTGGCTTTATTTTCATTTGAAATCAACTAGACATCATAAGAAGTCTTTTACTGAAAACCCAGATTGGTTGTGTATTGGACTGACATCATCTTTATTTGGAATCAACTAGACATCATAAGAAGTCTTTTACTGAAAACCCAGATTGGTTGTGTATTGGACTGACATCATCTTCATTTGGAATCAACTAGACAACATAAGTCTTTTACTGAAAACCCAGATTGGTTGTGTATTTGACTGACATAATCTTCATTTGGAATCAACTAGACAACATAAGAAGTCTTTTACTGAAAACCCAGATTGGTTGTGTATTTGACTGACATAATCTTCATTTGGAATCAACTAGACAACATAAGTCTTTTACTGAAAACCCAGATTGGTTGTGTATTTGACTGACATCATCTTCATTTGGAATGAACTAGACAACATAAGAAGTCTTTTAATGAAAGCCCAGAGGGATTTGATATTTAACTAGCATTAGTTTCATTTGGAACCAAATAGACATTATGAGAAATCTTTCAGTAAAAATCCACAATTGATGACAAACAACTGGCCATCCCGTGAGCTCATTTGATCTGGAGCAGTAAAGCTAAAAACTGCAAAAAAGACCTTTAATTGAAATAGGGGCTATTTTTTATTGTTGAGCTAATTTTAAATGGTACCATATTTCTTCATGATAAACACTGGCACTTTATTTTTTCATGATAAATACTGGTACCTTATTTCTTCATGATAAACATTGGTACCTTATTTCTTCATGAAGGAGTCCTGAGTGGCCTCGTGGTCTAAAGTGCTAACGTTACGGATTACTGCCACTTCACCTCTGTCTGCATGAGTTTGAGTCCAGACTGCTAACATGGTTAAGTGAGAAAGCCTGCCAGTAGCTTCTCGTGGGTCGGGGCTTCTTCCCTGGGTTTTCCAGGGTTCTTCCTCCACCATTAATACTGGCCACCATGTATAGCCTATATTGTGCTGAAGAATGGCGTTAAACCCTACAACAACAACAATTTCATCATGATAAACACTGGTACTTTATTTCTTCATGATAAATATTGGTACCTTATTTCTTCATGATAAACACTGGTACTTTATTTCTTCATGATAAGCACTGGTACTTTATTTCTTCATGATAAGCACTGATACCTTAGTTTTGTATGATACACATTGATACCTTATTTCTTCATGATAAACACTGGTACTTTATTTCTTCATGATAAGCACTGGTACCTTAGTTCTGTATGATACACATTGATACCTTATTTCTTCATGATAAACACTGGTATTTCTTCATGATAAGCACTGGTACCTTAGTTCTGTATGATACACATTGATACCTTATTTCTTCATGATAAGCACTGGTACTTTATTTCTTCATGATAAACACTGGTACTTTATTTCTTTTCATGATAAACACTGGTACTTTATTTCTTCATGATAAACACTGGTACTTTATTTCTTCATGATAAATATTGGTACTTTAGTTCTTCATGATAAGCACTGGTACTTTATTTCTTCATGATAAACACTGGTACTTTATTTCTTCATGATAAATATTGGTACCTTATTTCTTCATGATAAACACTGGTACTTTATTTCTTCATGATAAATATTGGTACCTTATTTCTTCATGATAAACACTGGTACTTTATTTCTTCATGATAAATATTAATACCTTATTTCTTCATGATAAACACTGGTACTTTATTTCTTCATGATAAGCACTGGTACTTTATTTCTTCATGATAAGCACTGATACCTTAGTTTTGTATGATACACATTGATACCTTATTTCTTCATGATAAACACTGGTACTTTATTTCTTCATGATAAGCACTGGTACCTTAGTTCTGTATGATACACATTGATACCTTATTTCTTCATGATAAACACTGGTATTTCTTCATGATAAGCACTGGTACCTTAGTTCTGTATGATACACATTGATACCTTATTTCTTCATGATAAGCACTGGTACTTTATTTCTTCATGATAAACACTGGTACTTTATTTCTTTTCATGATAAACACTGGTACTTTATTTCTTCATGATAAACACTGGTACTTTATTTCTTCATGATAAATATTGGTACTTTAGTTCTTCATGATAAGCACTGGTACTTTATTTCTTCATGATAAACACTGGTACTTTATTTCTTCATGATAAATATTGGTACCTTATTTCTTCATGATAAACACTGGTACTTTATTTCTTCATGATAAATATTGGTACTTTATTTCTTCATGATAAACACTGGTACTTTATTTCTTCATGATAAATATTGGTACTTTATTTCTTCATGATAAATATTGGTACTTTATTTCTTCATGATAAATATTGGTACTTTAGTTCTTTATGATACACATTGATACCTTATTTCTTCATGATAAACACTGGTACTTTATTTCTTCATGATAAATATTGGTACTTTAGTTCTTTATGATACACATTGATACCTTATTTCTTCATGATAAACACTGGTACTTTATTTCTTCATGATAAATATTGGTACTTTATTTCTTCATGATAAATATTGGTACTTTAGTTCTTCATGATAAATATTGGTACTTTAGTTCTTCATGATAAATATTGGTACTTTAGTTCTTCATGATAAATATTGGTACTTTAGTTCTTTATGATAAGCACTGGTACCTTATTTCATGATAAATGCTGGTACTTTATTTCTTCATGATAAATATTGGTACCTTAGTTCTGTATGATACACATTGATACCTTATTTCATGATAAATGCTGGTACTTTATTTCTTCATGATAATTAATGCTGCTGAAGACTACTGAAAACTTTGTAGAGGTGAGCTACATAATTGTTTATTCAGCTCTGTTCATAGAAGACAATAAGAGGCTCAAGTGGATCTGATATTGTTCACCTGACTTGCATAACTTAGCAGATTCTTTATTAATAAGTATGTTTATTTAGTATTATAAAAATAACCACCCTTTTTCAAATATTTTCTAAACAAATAATGTTGATTTTGACCTACTTTATCAGTCTCATAAGATTCCTATAATTAATATGCTTTGCTCATTATTGAACTCTTCCAGTATCTAGATGATACAAGTTCATTTTGATTAAAATCAGATTGGAAATATGGTCTTTAAGGGATTTTGATGAT